TATTCCACTATGGATTCTTGTGAGTGTAGTCTTTGTTCACTTTAACTTAAAAAATAAGAAAATAAATAAATAAATAAACAAACAGTTTTGAAAACCTCGGTATTCATTCTTTTCCTGCTTTGTGTGTCAACTTTCACGGTTGCTAAGCAACAGAGCATACGGCGGTAAAACCCGCCGAAGAGAGGACCTGTTCGAATTTACAGCCAAAACTCTTCCGGCCTCCTTATTTTCAAGGACTTCGAAGGATCCAGTCTAGGTAGACCGCGTCCTTGGAGGATGCAGCCCAGGTTTTCGAACAGAGCCTCTGATTAAGAACAGGAATGCCCATACTGACGCGGCTCAGGGATTACGTCACACGCAGCGTCATGCGCAGTGCCCTAGTGCCTGTAAATTTAATGGTCCAATTAAGGTAACTTACCGGTAAAAAATCAGGACATTTCCTCACTTTCTAAAAAAAACCCCGGGATGCCCGGGACAGGACGTGAAATACGGATATGTCCCGGGAAATACGGACGTTTGGTCACCCTACTTAACTGTTTATCTGGGCCACTTCCCAAGACGACCCAAGATCTTAGTTCAGATGTCCAACACAATTTAGTTTTGTGAAGCTCCAATATCTGCATGTTCATGTCAAGATTTCAAGGAATTAAAAAAAGACCTTAGTCATTTCCTGAGACCTGATACTTTTACTCCCAGGACCATGAACTGATAGCTTTATTCCAAAGAGTTGAGACCTGAAATCTTTTATTTTCCTGCAACTGGAAAACGTTTTTCCTGAGACATAGAGATTTCCTAAAATAGGCAACTTACAAATGGCCGAATCACAGAAACCAGCAGCAGCCAACTAAAATATCAGAACAGAATTAATTCAAGTCTGAAACTGAAACTAATCTTCCCATCATGCGATCCGTCATAAATTCCTGTTCAGCGTGAGATGAGTCAGCACTTTTCTCTATTTTGACTTTTATGTTCTGTCCAAGAAGCTTCTCTGAGGAGGATCCAGTAAAAGGACTAGACTCAGAGCAAGTTTAAAAGAAGCCAAAGTTTATCAAACCAGTTCTAACAATCAGGAGAACCTCTGTGTTATATAAGGTTGGACTAGGTCTATATTTGTCTCTGAGGGAGTGCCACTGTCGTTATTGATAAGCCACAGGGTGGAGAGTCACACATTCCTTTTTATGTTATCCTTTAGATAAGAGCAGAACTCCATGTGAGGCTGTCAGACAAAAGAGATCTGTTCTCTTTGAAATATTTTGGACTCAAACAATCCCACCTGACTCACATTTGTTAGCCCTGGAGCATGAGGGCACAGATGAACCGGAGAGGATACTTGGAACACTTTGTCGAAAAACGACAACTGAACATAAAAGATCTGAAGTTTGAAGCTGAAAGGTTTGGTTTGGAAAACAGATACCTCCAAATGGAAAACATCCCAGAATATCCTAAACCAGAGTTCCATGTGAGTCTTCTGAAGCATGACACTACAGGATCAGGGTTACGTGGGATCAGGAAGGATGGAGGCTTCAGGGATCCATATGGGGGATCCCTGGTTTGGTGGAGTCTGACTGTGGGACCAGAGGAGCTGAAGGATGCCGAGATGAGGCTCCTGGAGAAGACCTTCCCAGACAGGATGGAGGTGGAAGATCCTGAGCAGCAGAGCTTCCTGTGGAGGTTTGCCACCTCTCCAGCCTTCAAGGAGACGTCCCGGCTGGGCTGCTACCGCTTCACCTTCTCACTGGAGGAGGTGCTGACGGCCTACAGAGAACAGGTGAGAACCTTCAATGGGTCAAACCAGGGGATTCAAGTTTTACCGAATCTGCTGATCAAAGTTCAAGAGAGTAAAAATTATTATTTGGATTTCAAAGGTACCTTCATGTTTGGGTAGGAAAGGTTCTGTCATATCTAAACAGCAGGACATTGCAAAAACCTTTTACTATGAGAGGAGATCAGGTTGGTCAGTGGTGCCAGACCTCCTCAAGTCAACCAACATCTCCGAGGTCTTTGAGATTTGATTAGGGTTGGGTACATCCTGACCATTTGGACCCTTTTAGTTCTCCTCCAGCTTCCAGTTCTACCAGTTTATCTGCAGATGACCACTAAATAGCATCCATCCATCCATCCATCCATCCATCCATCCATCCATCCATCCATCCATCCATCCATCCATCCATCCATCCATCCATC